AGACACGAGACAACCACACATTAAGGGTAAAGGTACGAGACCACCACACGTTGGTACCTATAATAAGGGTAAAGACACGAGACAACCACACATTAAGGGTAAAGGTACGAGACCACCACACGTTGGTACCTATAATAAGGGTAAAGACACGAGACCACCACACGTTGGTACCTATAATAGGGGTAAAGGTACGAGATCACCACACATTAGTACCTATAATAAGGGTAAAGACACGAGACCACCACACATTAGTACCTATAATAAGGGTAAAGACACGAGACCACCACACATTAGTACCTATAATAAGGGTAGAGACACGAGACCACCACACGTTGGTACCTATAATAAGGGTAAAGACACGAGACCACCACACGTTGGTACCTATAATAAGGGTAAAGACACGAGACCACCACACGTTGGTACCTATAATAAGGGTAAAGTCAATGAGTGGTTGTGGTGCAGTGGTCGAGCAGGCAACTTGGTATCAGAAAGTCACAGGTTCAACTCCCCACCATGTCCAYKTATTGTGTCCTTKAGCAAGACACCTAACCCCCAACTGGTCCTTGKGCCCTTCCATAGCTGCCTCTGGTGTACTTGTGTGATTGTCACATGTGCTGGTGAACGGCAGAGCAAAGATCTCATCATATGGAAACATGCACTGATGACTGATAAAGCACATTTATAAATCAGGACTTTGTCAGGACAGATGTGGTCTGTGTGTTTACAGTTTTAACTCTGGACCACATGGTCAGAACCTGTACAGAGTTAAAATCAGACCTGTACTTYCTGTACAGGTCAAAACAAACGCTGGACGACGTGAAGCTGTAAACTGAATGATTGGTCATCAAACTGCACCAATCAGAGCTGATGTCAGCAGTTCACATGCAGGGGTCTTTACAGACCCCCTGGGAGCTTCATGAGGACGAGCTGCAACTTTCAGGAGTGTCTGAAGGTGAATCATGTCTTTACTCTGAATGTAAAGAAATTATTTGTCCCGTTTGAAGTGGGTAATAAAATACCCGTGTGKTAGTCGTCCTCAGTAACAGACAGATACTGTAAGATGTCTTCCAGAAGCTTCTGTYGGAAAGATCAACAACGTCTCTGCTTGGTTCATGGAAAAAAAGSTTTGGAGTTCCCACTGCCTGCAGGTCTGTGTGAGTATCTGTGTGAGTACAGGAAGCTGTGAGTACACAGTGTTCACATCCTGCAGGATCCCTGGGTCCAGCCCTGCCTCTACAGGTCCTGGTCCTGGTCCTGGTYCAGACATGAGCCAGACTGTGAAGGACTCAGTTTTACCTGCTCCCACCTCAACATCTGTGAAACTCACAAACTTCTTCCATTAATGATGAATATTTAAATAATCATTCATCCAACAACTGAAGATTTATCATCTTTTCTACAAGTTTCACTGAAATCTGCCTCAGGCGATATTTTACTAACAGACAGGATTCAAATATACTACATTACATTACATTATATTATATTATATTATATTTTTAACAGACTTTAGACAGATGTTATCTGGGTGTGAAATTGTTTTTAATAAAAGTTGGTTTTATTTTATTTTTACCAAATAAAGTTTGTGTTTGAACACATTAAAGTGATAATAAAGTAAGGCAGTAGTCCAGTGTGGACCGGGTGCAGGGTCTCCAGGCTGGACCCTGACCCACGTCAGGACTCAGGACTCACCTGGACCACCTGCCGGGGCTTCACGGACAGCGTGGGGAAGTTCCCCCGGCCGTGGATCGGAACACTCTCCCCCAGGATGGAGTCCAGGCGCCGGACTTGATCCCAGGACAGCACGCTAAGTCTCCGACTCTGCTCCGAGGCATCACCGCGGGACATGACGACCGGACCGGGCTCAGGTGGATCAGGTGGTCCTGTGGGGTCGGGTTCGGGTTCGGCTGGTGCCTGTCTGCTCAGGAGGATCCAGAGGTCTGAAGAGGAGCTGGAAGGTTCGCTGTGACACTGGACCGGTTCGACACACTCAGCAACAGGTCCGGTCTGGTTCTGGTCCTCGTGCTCAGCTGGTTCTTTTAGCCGGACTGGATCATCACGAGCCTCCTGATTGGCTGGAAGCGGAGGGCTGAGCTGACGTCACTTTARTTTGACGTCTCTGTGCGTCAAGTGACGTTCAAATACTGTGGGAAAAACAAGAGTCCTCAWATATGGCAGGCCCTTTTAGCATAAAATATGATTCACGAAACTTCCATTCCAGATATCTGAAATTGAATAATGACTAGTTATATTTRTTATTTAAGATATCTCTAATTATATTTGACTAGTTTCAATGAYGTCAGAATTACCACTGAGTTCTATGGAGGCTTCAATTCAAGATATCTTAAATGACATAATCACTTAAGATATCTTAAATGACATCATTCAAGATATCTTAAATGGCAGCATCATTTAAGATATCTTAAATGATGATGTCATTTAAGATATCTTAAATGATGATGTCATTAAAGATATCTTGAATGATTATGTCATTTAAGATATCTTAAATGATGATGTCATTAAAGATATCTTAAATGACATCATCATTTAAGATATCTTAAATGACATCATTCAAGATATCTTAAATGACATCATCATTTAAGATATCTTTAATGACATCATCATTTAAGATATCTTAAATGACATAATCATTCAAGATATCTTAAATGACATCATTTAAGATATCT